CAAGAGAAGCCCTTGAAAATTGATTATCCCGATTTTTGCCAATAGTTAGAAGAGTTTCTATAATAGAAAATGGCTAAAAGCTACCGAGCCAAGCGGTGCAGGCGGAAAAACAAATGGAGGGAAATAAAATTTATCTTAAGTGGCCCAACAGTTGATGGATTTTTATGAGCAGCTTTGATTTTCATATCAAAAACTCACTCACAATGATTGGCAGTCCCGCGTACCGCGGCTGTTTGCCGCACCAGGACTCGAGAACCCTGGCCTTCCGAAGCATATCTTCCACTTTTCTTATTTTGCGCCTTTTCCCTTGATCATTTTGTCAACTTCGCTCTTTAAAATGTGGTATAAAGAAAAGAAATAAATTTCAATGGGAAAAGCGTAATTGAAAAGAAGACCAATTAAATTCTTCAAATATATGTATGTACGGGTATGTATGTAGATTGTGAAATTTGTGGCGTTTTCATTAAAAGCACCATTTATTTAACAAAAAAAAACTCAAATACCAGACAAATAATGCCCCAGTGCCCTTTCGAAGCGCTAATGAAATGAAAGAGATCAAATTAAGAAAAAAATTAAAAAAAAGCGCTGAGAAAAGAAATAAGCGCACAATTAAATGAGCTTGAGCAATTAACGAAAATAAACAAACAAACAGTCATAAATGTGTGAGTACATATGTAAAAGTCAATTCTTCAAGACACCTCTCGCTGCAACACGGTCTGACACTTAACCTCAACAAAGTGGCAAGGTGATGATGATCATGATGATGATATTCTAAATTTAAGTGCTGCTCAAGTGAATCTATAAGTACGCATGTAAGTACAAACATACATACATACATACATGCATATGTTTCACATACATACATGCGTAAGTGTATGAAAAGTAAATAAATGAAATCATAAAGTTACCGTTAGAAAAAGAGAAATTATTAAAGCTGCAGCCAGCGCCATGCGTCTGCTGCAAACAGTACACAATAAACAACAACGTTAATGTAAGTAATGTCCGTCCGTGTGTGCGTTATTGTTGAACTTAATAATTTGATAGGTATTTGTTATGGTTAAATGATTACAGCTGAATGTGCATTTCACCGCTGCAATGAGTAAACAAATACTTGCACGTGTGTGTGTGTATATGAGTGTGCTGCGTAAACATGTTGTCTTTTCGCTTTGAAGCGTGACATTTAACGGTGATCGACGATTGATTTTTTTTTTTTTTTTTTGGTAAACTGCAAGTACAGCTGCCGAAAGGCTTATGATGAGATATCATCAGACGGACCTGCAATGATATGGAATAGATAGTGCACTTAGGAACCTCTTTTGGCCCTCAGCTAAGAGTGATATCTTTTTCGGACGAAAGAATACCGCTTCGACTACCTAAGGCAACAAAATATTTAAGCAACTAAGGGTATCACTCTTGCCAACAGGTGCTACTTTGGGCGGAGAAGGCAATGGAAAAATGAAAGTCTCTCTCTACCCACGAACGAAAACCGCACTCTAGAAGTCCCTCAGCATACCTGTCCTACTATATGGCGTAGAGGCGTGGACGATGTCAACATCTGATGATCTGATGAGTCGGCGTTAGGAGTTTTCCAGAGAAAGGTTTTGCGTCCGATTTATGGTCCTTTGCGTATTGGCAACGGCGAATATCGCAGACGATGCAAAGATGAGCTGTTCCAGTTATGCGGCGACATTGATTTAGTTCAGCGAATCAAGAAGCAGCGGCTACGCTGGCTAGGTCATGTGGTCCATGCCGTACCCACCGGTGGAAGCAAAGAAAGGGGAAAAACCTGGTAGAGAAGGACCTGGCTGTACTTTGTATTTCCAATTGGCGCCAAACAGCAAAAAAAAAAGAATCAAATGGCGCAATAATGTTAAATCGGGTAAAATCGCATGAGCGTTGTCTACGACAGTAAAGTAAGTAAGAAAGGGATTCGCCACGTGTAGTATAGTGCCTGTGGCTGCAGGAATAAATATATAGCTGCAGAAGCCGCTCTGAAGCTCAGGGTGTCTGGATCATTGGCTAGACCAAGCGTGCGACAGTCCGTTGTTCTTAAAAAGCTTGAATTCATCACCAAGCGTACAGTAACTCTGAGTTGACGCCAAGTAGATCCTTCTCCCTTATAGTCAGCTTTCTGGAGAACCTGAAGGAGAAAAAGCCACTGGAGGAAATGAGCACTACTCAACTTCTTTCACTGCTGGTTCGAACTGTAATAGAAATGTCGATGCGGGAATCTACTGTCAAGAATTAGTCCATGCGTGGAGTATTTAGAATTCCAGACTACGGCAGCATTTTTCAGGGGGTAGTGGCTGCTATCAAAGTGGCAGTGGAATAGAACAGCCAATCCGTTATTACGGCTTTGGGTTCACTGGTGGTGAAGTAATGTTTATATTTCGTCTCTCCAAAGTGTGAGCTTACTATAAAATTAATATCAATTGTTTACCGGGTCACAGCGGTATTGCTGTTGCGGTTGCAAGTTCCTTCTGAGGTCAAGGAAGCTTCTCTCAATCTTAATAACAAAGCTATCAATAATAGAGGGAGTTTCGACCGGATAATGTCCTTTGGGAATGCACACGATAACATCCCTTAGTTTATTTGGAGTAAGAGTTGGAATCATCCCATCCCTTTCTACTGCTTTGTCCTGCGTTTGCTAGACTGAGAATACTTCGCATTCATATACCAACCCTAAAGGAGTAAACACATATTAAAAGCAGGGAAATTTGTAGATTTGTGACAAGCCTTAAGCGATTCAATGAATAAAAAGTTGCCTAGTCTTCAGTGTCTTAGGTGTCTATTTGGAATTATCTTTGGATCAGCCACCTCAATCTAACCACTGTTGTACCAGTACTTGAGATCAAAAAATCCAAGGACCAGCTCCGATACTACCCTTTTCCTCGATAAAACCACTTCTAAGTTCTGAAAGCCAACAGCAGTTTGCTCCAGACAACTACGTACAACGTGACCGAGCACAGATTTTGTCTCTAAAGCTTTTCTTCATTAGATAAGAGTATCCACTATTCGCTAAATGATTTTCGACAAAACTGTAGAGACCTATAGATGTAGAAGCCTGACAATATGACAATGCCCCATCCCTACTCATACTTCGACATCAATTTTTGAGAAGCTTTTTCCTTGACTCTTCTGTGGAATTAGCTACAAAAATGGGTTTATAAAACCACATAAACACCAAGAGATGGGTACACAATTTATCCTAAGCCGCCTTCGAACGGCTGATAGTTTTTCATAAGGAGCTTAAAGCCAAAAGAATATTTTTCCAAATGAAAAATGTTTCACGTTACTCGTTAAAAGCAAGCTGCAGTTTCCATGGATCTACTAGCCAAAGTTTATATAAGCAAAATTTTCGACCAGGCTTCCCTGCATCTATCGATTTTTGCCAGCACTTTGAAACCTTTCAAATTAAGAGATGCAAATCAATCAAAAAATTATTTGAAATAACAATGCTCCAAAATCTATAAGGTTCTGTAGGCCACATAAAATTGAGCATGCAAAGGAAAGCCTAGGAAAAAAAGTTAAGAGAAATTATCTGAATATGCAAATCGCTTCAAAGGATTTCATATATATAAAAGAGGACAAACTCAAATGCCATATAAGCCACAGATGGTATTTATTGATGGAAAAGTACTTCATGCTTTACCTGGTACGTCATCAACTCAACCAAAAATCTCCTCGAAACCACTGATTTTGACTCCGAATGTTTTAAGACAAGACCTGCGGCTCTGAAATATTATGTCAGTCCATTGCATGCCTGGATTGTTTTTTTTTAATTTAAGCTAAACTTATCCTGTAGACGTGAAGTTCAGAAGTGGCATATTAACTAATAAAATCAAATTGATGACTTGGAAAATTCAGGAAATGATGTGGTCAATAATGGGGTTGCTTATAAGCATTATTAAGGGGACCCTCGCCTGACTTTTTGATCAAAAAAGCCATACATTTGTAAAATATGTATTTAAAGGGATTTTACAATACGATTAATGCTTTTCAAATGGGAGCTTCTCGACCACTCCTATCTCACGCACGCACGTAAGGCAAACTTTCAAAAAACTTCGAACGCGATTTTCTCGAAACCATTTTTTTCGATCTAACTTTAAGCCCCGAACTAGATCTATCCGTCCGATCTCTTTTATTTAAAAATTGTTTCAAGGCCGATGTTTTTTTTTTGGCTATGAATTCCTCTAAGCCATAATTTATCCAATACATTTAAATTCTTCAATTGAATGACTTCAAAATACTCCACCAGCTGAACATAGTTATTCTGAATTACCACTTTTAACTAATTAATTTATTCTANGGCACGCGGCCTGGCAGATCAACATCTTCAATCCTTCGAAGAATTGGAAAAATGGATTGCTTCATGGATAGCGTCAAAAGAGGAGTCCTTTTTTGAGCCGGAATACAAAAATTGTCAGAAAGATGGGAGAAAGTTGTCGCTAGCGAAGGACAATACTTTGAATAATATAACTGTAAGCACTTTTTCGCAATAAAGCTTTTAATTTTGGAAAAAAAACGGCGGAAGCAAAGTTGTACACCTGAGATTATTTAGAAATTAAGTTGACGAAGAAGATTAAATCTATTTGTAAATAAAAATTCAATGAAATAATTTTTCTTCTTGGGTATGGGTTTAAAGTGTAGTTTAATTGTTGAAAAAAAAAATAAATTCTATAACACTATTCAAAATTTTTGTGGCAATTTGAACTCTCTAACTTTAAAATTTTAATTTATGCAAAAATTTCGGCCTCTATGTCGGCAGAAAATCTGCACATTTTTTCAAGTTATGAAGTGGAAAAAGGTTAGGTCTTGCTTGGGTAATCAAATTGGAGTCAGATTGAGAAAGAATACACTGTTGTACTAATGTAGAATACACTCGGCTACTTAAATTCAAAAAGGAAGATTTACTTTGATCCCCATTTTACGCCACTTAAATGCCTGACTAACAGCGCATGTGTTAAATTTTTATGAGCATCAACAAATAACTTACTCACCTGTAATCTAAAGTAAATCGTTGTTGTTGTTGCTGTTGTCGTTGTTGCAATTTGTTCAATGGTTAATAGAAAACCGCCCACCAGCGCGTGCGCTGCAATTTTACGACGAAGCTAAGCCACAAAAAATCAAACAAAAATCACAAAACGACGAAGGCGTTGATGGCAACAACGGGCCACAGGCAGTCAATCGACAGACCAGCAATTAAAATGTCTTGCACACTCGTTGCTTGGTGTTCTACGCTTGCGTTTTTGCTTTCAGCTTAGTTTAGTGACTGTGAAAATTTCCGATTACCGGCGTGTGGTCTGTGGTATGTGCGGTGTGCGGTGTGCGGTGTTAGCAAATTTATTCACACGCTTCAGTTTGCGATTGGTGTTGCTCCTTTTTTTGTTGCTGCCGCGCGTGACACATAAAAATAAATTGTGGTGAGTATTGGTTGTTGTTGGCTAACCAGGCGTTTTATGCTATATTTGCGCCTGCTCAATAAACGGGCGGCGGCGAGCTGCGCGCGAGTCCAACAATAACAAAAAATAGCAAAAAATTAAATTATTGACGTTGTAAAGTGTTGACCACAAGTCTTGCCTCTGGTTGGTCGCGCTCAGCTGTTTGGCGCTCAACTCGCTTTGGCTGATGATTGTGTGATATGAGACGATGCTCGTCTCAGCTGCTTAGCTGGTTGTTGCTGTCGTTACGGACGTTGCTGCCGTTGGGAATTCCTTAAGTGAAAATTGTGCTAAAGTGAAGAGTTGATTTTTCTGCTGTTACTGCTATTGTTGTTGTTCGCGAATGTTTTTTTTTTTTTGGAGTTTTTTTTTAAATTCTTCTTGATGCTTGCCTTCTCTTGAGCTGGTTAATTACACGGGCTACTTTGAATATTTATTTGCTATTGTTGTTGTAGTTTTTTGTTTGTTTTTGTATATATTGTCTTTTTGGAATATTTTCTTTGCAAATTCTTTTATTTTAAATGTTTTTTTATTCGTCTATTTGTATCTTCTTCTTCTTGTTTTTTTTTACTTCTTCTTCAATTTATTACTTGGCTACTACAAGTGGGTCACTAATACACACACACATGCACACACTCAAGGAAAAACACTCACTAACTAACGCTAACAAGTGTTACCTTCAGTCAAATATTTACTTGCCACATGCAACCTGCAATATGCGGTTGTTTGTTGTTGCCTCTTCTTCGTCGCGCAACAGGTGTAAAATAGTAGTATGAAAAAAAATCGCAAAAAAAGTGGAAGCAGAAATTGACAGTATGGAAAGTTATTTTCTTCTTCTTTATTATTTTATTACCTCTTCTTCAGTTCTTGTCTCTTTTTTCTTAATTCTCTGCTAAATGTTTGTAGAATTGCAGATAATAAAATATTTTTAGTTGTTGTATTTAAAAATAGTAGTAGCAGTAGTAGTAGTAGTAGTAGAAATAACAGTATAAGTATTTCAAGATGTGCACAGGAAGCGATAGTTTTGATAGTTGATATATAAATATGTAGATAAAGATGCGTAGTTGTAGTTGTAGTATGTAGCTGAGACAGCAGCGTTTGCTACAGAAGATGAAAGAACGAAATGAGTCCAATTGGCAAATGATTTTGTAAAAAAAAAAAGAAATTAATTAAGTAGAATCTTCAGTGAGTGATGGAAAAATAAGAATTTCCATTATTTAAATAAAAAAGTTGAAAAGTTGTTTGCTGTCGAATTATCTAAAATTGTGAAAAAAAATATATTTTTTTTAAATAACAATAATAAATTTATTATTTTTAATACGAAAACAAATTTAAGTGGTTTTAATTGCAGTTATTTTGCATATTCTGTTTATATTTTAAAAATTACTATTTTCTAATTTTTTACATAAAATAATTTTTTTATTTACGCCTAATTATTAACCAAATTTCGCTACTATTTATTTTTTAATTATTATTTTTAGTTGCTATTACATTATTAGCTTTTCAAAGTAAAAATTCATTTATGATTTATTTTCAGCGATTTCAATTATGTAATAAGCAAATTTGTAATATCGGAACCTATTATTAAATATAAATATTTTTTTATTCTCGGATTTCAATAAATTATTTTATTGTAATTTAATTTTAATTCTATTTTATTTATTAACCATTTACTTGATTTAAATGCACTTTATTTTATTTAGTCTCGTTTTGCTTAATCTTTATTACTTTTATTATTTCTTATGTTCTTTAATTGAATTTAATTTTACTTTGCCTCATTTCGTTTAATTTTTCAATTAATGTAAATTTTTTATTTACTTTTAATTCTATATATTTTATAGGTTTTATTTTATTTAGTTAAATTAACTTTTTTTCTCATTTTAATCTTATTTAACTTATTTTCCTTTACTTTTTCTTAATTAAACTTTGATTAATGTTACTTAATTTTTTTCAATTATTTTATTCTATTGCATTTTGTTCAATTTTTTTTAACTTTTATATAACATTGCTTTAGTTTTTTTTTGTTATTTACGTGTTTTAAACTTATTTTTTATGTAGTATGTATTATTTTTATTTTATATATTTTTTAGTATTATTTATTTACAGTAGTTAGTAAGATATATTAATTATTATTAATATTTTTATTTTTTTATTTTTATATACTACTTTATTTTATGGTACTATTTATTTTAGTTTTTTATTTTACCTTTAGTTCGATTTGTTTTAAAGAAACTAAATTTATAATTTTCCTTCCTTTATCACTTCCATTTAATTTAACAAAAACTAATTTCGATTCTTTAATTTTTCTTTATTTCAGTTCATTAACTTTTTATTTAATTTTAATTTTATTAATTTATTTATTTAATTTATTTTATTTTATTTTATTTTATTTTATTTTATTTTATTTTATTTTATTTTATTTTATTTTTATTTTATTTTAATTTATTTTATTTTATTTTATTTATTATATTTTATTTTATTTTATTTTATTTTACTTTATTTTATTTTATTTTATTTTATTTTATTTTATTTTATTTTATTTTATTTCATTTTAGTTTAAGTTAATTAAGTATTTTTTTTACTTATTGTCTTTATTGTACTTTATTTTATTTTGTTTTATTTTACTCATTTCATTTTACCAGATTTTGTTTCATTTCCTATTATTTTATTTTAATTGATTTTCTTTAAATTTTTTTAGTTTAAGTTATTTTAATAAGTTCTATTTTTTTATTCTGCTATATTTTTATTTATTTATTATTTTATTATTTTATTTATTATTATAAATTTATATTTTACTCTATTTTGATTTACTTTTTTATATTTGATTTTATTTTACATAACTTAATTTTATTTAATTTTATTTAATTGCATTTGATTTTAATTTTTATTATTATATTACTTTAATATAATTTCATTTTTTTATTTATTTTGTATTAATGTATTTAATCTTATTTTATTTATTTCATTTTCTTGTATTAAATTTTATTTAATTGTACATTATTTTATTTTCATTTTATTTATTTCATATTTTGTTATATTTTATTTTATTGTATTTTCATTTCATAATTAGTTTTTTTTTATGTAAATAATTTTATTTTATTATAATTTGTTTTATTTTCTTATATTTTGTTATTTTATTTTATTTCTTTAAAGCACTTACTTTTTATTTTTATAAATTATATTGAATTATTTTATTTTATTTATTTTAAATTTTAGTATTTCATTATGTTTTATTACATTTAATGTTATTTTATTTTATTATTATACTTTATTTTATTTTTTTATATTATCTTTTTTAATTTGTTTATTTTAATTTATTTGCCTTTTTTACTTTAAATTGGTTTCTTTCATTTAATTTTTAATATTACTTCAATTTATATTATTTTATTTTTTTTATATTATTTGTTTTTATTTTATATTATTTTATTTTACTTCATTATATTTCGCTTAGTTTTATTTAATATTAGTTTATATTTCTTTATTTTATTTTATTTAATTTTTTATTATATTTTCTTTAATCAAATTTTCTTTTATTTTGTAATATTTATTTTTATATTAATATTTTTTACTGTGTCCCGTTTTATCTATACAATAAATTCTTCTCCTTGTTTACTGCATTTTCTTCAATGACACAGCTTTCACTTTTGCTTCATTTAAATGTTCCCACTTTCAGCATGTCCTTAAAAATAAAATTTGCAGTATTTTTAGATCACAAAATCTTAACACCTTTTTCAGTTCACTTTTTCTCCGGCGCTTATTAGGATTATCCTTGCACTCTTTTATTTTATCGTAATTAATAAAGTTTGTTAATGAATTTTTATACGCAAAGCAAAGCTCGTTTCAGCTAAACATCTCGATTTTTTATGTTGAATTGAACGTAAATATTTCAAAGTTAATTTTAAGTTTTTTATTTTTCAAAATTGTTATAAACGTTTTTGAGAATACTCGTTATTTGCTCAAATGCTGGAAAGAAAAAATTCGAAAAATGCTTTTTCGCGACGTCGTTTTTGAGCGCGTCTGATCGTGGTCGTGGGTAACCGCAGAATGGTAAATGCACCTGCTTTCACATAGCGAAACACTTCGCATGCGCGCTTGCGCACCGCTGCTCACAGCGACATACAGCGGCAATCAACGGCCAGCAAGCAGCAACAAGCAGCAGAAGAAGCAGCAGTGGCGGCGAAATTTCTTCGTTCATTGACAATCGCACGTCTCTTGATGCTGCTGCTGGTGCTGCTTGCTGCCAATATTTGTTGTATTGCCACTTCTGTGCTTGTTGTTGGCAAGCACCCTGCTTACCACCACCAATAACCACAGCGACTGCGACCGGCAACTGATCACTGTATTTGCTACTGCTTTTGTTGCAGCAACTGCGCGATGGTTGTCAACCGACAGTTTGCCCATTCATCCGTCTGACTAACTCAGGTCTTGCTGGTTGGCGTTTTGTTGTGTTTGGGTTTGTCGCCTAATTTGCCGTTGTAGCTTACTTTACTTAACTTCTGCTGCGTTATACTCTATATAAATATTTGTTGTTGTAGTTGTTATTGTAGTTGTTATTGTTTGACTTCTTGGTATCTTTGGTTGTTTTTTGTTTTTTTTTTTCTATGAACTTCGCACTCAATAAACACTCAAAATATTTATGTTTGCAAAATCTTAAATGTTTAGTGGTTAAAGCCTAAAATTTTTCACCTTTGACGGTGTTTCACTTTTCTTCAATTATATACATATGTATATGTATATATTGAAATGTATAGGGTTGTCCATTTCGTGGCCTCAAAAGTACAGGGCTCTATTTTGTCAAACCAAGTAGGTTTTGTTTTAGTTGAAAGTCAGGCATTGATGAAAATGGGTCGCTTAACAACCTAAAGCACAAACGGTGGCAACGTTTCGTAAGAGGAGACCATTCATTAAATTATGGAGAAATTACCCTAGTTAGATATACTGTGCGCCTTCTCATTATCATTTTGTGAATTCCGCCTCCAAAATGTGTCTCTTTCCCGACATTCTCAAGAGCTGGGACTTTCTAATGGTGAAATGGCGTATTTCGTACATTGGTAAGGAGGTGCCATTAGACCTTACTTCTATGAAAACAACAGCAGCACTCAGTTCGGAGTGTTTTGGTCGTATGATAATCGACTTTTTTAGGCCTTCATTCGAAAAACCCGACTTAGGCAATATGTGATTTCAACAACATGGTGCTCCACGCCACACAACATGAACAAAAATGTCTTTATTGGGAAGAAACTTTCTGCCTGCATAACCTCTCGTCTAGGCGAAGGCCATTGGCCACCGAAATTGTACGATTTGACATCTTTGGAGCA